CCTGGCTTTTGGTTGGAAGTGAATCAACACACTGTGGTAACACTTATTTCTTGCTGATCAGAGGCTCATTATGTGTTTGGTTAATTTTAAAAACAGGATTACATGTTCCATAATAATTACAGCTTAATTGCCATACTGTGTTTTTGTGTTTTGTTTTTTTTTTAAGATGACTGGTAAGGGGATCTTAACCCTTGGCTTGGTGGTGTCAGCACCATGCTCACCCAGTGAGCTAACCGGCCATCCCTATATGGGATCCGAACCCAGGGCCTTGGTGTTATCAGCACCACACTCTCCCTAGTGAGCCATGGGCCGGCCTGTATTTGCCATACTGTTTTAATCTGCAGGGTCTGCAGGAAGGACAAGTAATAAAGGGATCTTTTGGTGGTAAAAGACTGGGCTCTGATGGACCAGTGTCTCCAGGTCCCTGTCATCCACCCTTCTTTCTGGGCCCTGAGGGAAAGTTGGCATCCCCATCGTGGTGCTCACAGGCTATGGCCAAGGGAGCTTCCCATTCTCCCTTCCATCTCTACTTATAGAAATCCCTTTGGTTCTGGGCCAAGAAGCAGGTCCATATTGCCTGGGCATGGGAGGGAAAAGGGTCTGTCTAAATTGGCCCTTGGTATTCTCATATTGGGAAGGGAAGGAGGTGAGCACTTATTAGGCACTGCTATGAGTCAGGCATCATGTAAGGCATTTGTACATAATTTAATTCCCATAACCTGGTGAGATTTTTTCATCACCGGTGTACAAACAAGGAAACTGAGGCTCAGAGTTATGAAGTAACTGGCCTTATATGACACCTTATGTGACACAGATAATAAATGGCAGAGAAGGAATATGGACCCAAGGTCTTGAGAGAGTGATTTGTGAAAATCTCAACTGATTATCTTTTTTTTTTTAAAAAAAGAACCTTTGTGTTCCCTGCTGACTCAAAAGGCCTCAGTTTAGATCTGAGCAGATCCACTGACCACCAGGGTTCCATTTATTTTTGCATCTGTCTAGGCACTCTAATGTTTTTGAAGACGAATTTTGGAGATTGGCCTTAGGTGCAGCCTCCGTGTGTGTGGGCTTTTAAGTGATATCTCGTGACTTGATTTTAGCTCTGTTCACTATGGCCCCTCAGGAGAGTGTGATGACCAGTGCCTCAGCCCTGGGTTCAGACCTCAGCTCCATCACCTTCCAGGTTTGTGCCCATGAGCCTGTAGCCAGGGCAGATTTTGACTTTCACTTGAAACTTTCAAAAATTGAAAGCTGGAAAAATGCCTTGGTTTTTGGGACGAACATATGGTCCATCATGGCCTCTGAGAATCTGAGGTGGGACATCTTTGAGTAGCACCTCACATTTCCAGAGTGTGTTTTGGATTCTTCTTAAAAGGATAGAGACTGCTGGGGAACAGAATGCTGTGGAATAAATGAAGGAGGCGAATTCATTGTGCTATTTAACATTTGGTACTTGGGCTAAAGGAGAAACAACACAAAGTGTTAACACTCAAAGGAAGTTAAGCTGTTGGGGCTCCAGCCTCCTAATTTTCACAGAGAGAATCCTGAGACCCAGCTGATGAGATGTGCTGTCACTCAGATGATGTAATACAGTGGAGATGGCTTCGTAGCCAAGTACCCATAGGTTCAGATTCCAGCTTCACCAATTATAAATGGGGCAACTTTGCAGAATAACTTGACTTTGACTCTGCCTTTCTGCCTTCTAGTCTGTAAATAGGGATAATCCTACTACTTTGCAGGGTTGTGGTCATGCTTAGAGATAACATTAGTTAGGTACCTCATAAAGTGTCTGGAATATGATTGGCATTCAGATAACAGCAGCTGTTGTTCATAACTAAGCTAGAACTCTAAAGTCTACCATGGCAACTTCTCCAGTGACCTAAGAATACAATTGTGCTCTGTGGCAAAACAGAGTTTAGGGACCATAGCAAGCCCTCCTATCAGCTGTTCGCTTTCCTGTTCTTCGGAGACACTTGTGATGATGACTTTGGCTGTGTAACTGGCCATGCCATTCAAAGGCATTCCTTGACAAAGATGTGTGCATTTGTGTCACTCTCCACCCAGGTGTTCTTCCAGTAGGCTGGTGTGGCTGTCTCCCACATGCCTGCACTCGTTTCTTTCCCTGCTCCCTCTCCTGGGCCTGGCCAGGGCTACTTCCAGCAAACAAAAGCAGGATATTGGCAATGGAAAGGAGGGTGTGTTCTGGTGCTCCTGTGCCCTGCGGCACACATACCATTGCGAGGGCGTAACAGAGCCCAAGCCTGCAGTTGGGTGCAAATATGTCAGCACAGCTTTTCTCCACTGCAGACAGGAGAAACACAGGACCTGGTAACCATGATCCACGGAACCCTTGTGCTCCCACCTGTGCTGCTGGTTCTTGCCACTCCCACTATTTCCATCTTGGAGACATTTGCTAAAGGCCTACTCTACTGGGCCCTTTGCTAGGTACTGATTCTACCAAGAGTAAATGGGATGCTGTTTCTGTCCTTGGAGCTCACAGTCTAGTGAAAGAGAAAGATGTTTGCTTGGGAGCTTTTAAGTCAGAAGGTGGGAGGCATAAAGGAAGTCCCCGCTTCTAGTTCTTGCCCTCTGATAGGCACCTCACAGTCATTCAGAACCATATTTAATCCTCACTTGAAAGTAGGTGATGACATTGCCATTTCACAAATGAGAAGCAAATAGGCTGGTCCAGGATCATTTAGGTGGTAAATGGTGGTGCTGAGATTTGAATGTTGGATCATCTGGGGAAAAATGTAGATATGCAGAGTTGAGAGGATCTGGGGTATAGTCTATCCCCTCATTTCACAGGTGGGAAAACTGAACCCAAAGAGAGAAAGGGGCTAATCCAAGGGCATGTAGCACCCAAGAATTTGAACCCAGGTCTCTCTCCTCCCAATTCAGAGCTTATCAAATGTGCATCTTACATCGAGAGGAGTTTGAGCCAGGTGCCCGGAACAGGGTCTTCCCCTCCACTCTCACTATGCATTTTTCGGCACTTCATATCCGTAGTCTTCATGCCATACCCAGCTCTCAAGACCCTGAAGTTCAGCATCCAAAGGAAAAGTAGGAAAAGCTACAGGGTGGGAATAGCCATCAGTGTTTTTTGAGCACCAAGGGAGAGTTGGGCACTCCAAAAAGATATATTCTCAGGGTCCTACTTCTCTATACCTCCCTAGCTCAGCTGCTTTCCACAGCTGCTTCAACTCATTCCTATTTCCCTTCCCTACCCTATCTCCTGCAGTGCTCAGAAGTAGGTAGTGCTCATTTTGGCCTCTCACCTTGCATCATTAAATTTTATTTAGACTTTCTCTTCCCAAACTGTTTATAAGCAGGCAAGGTATATGGAAGGTAAGGTAGGGTGCCTTGTGTATCTATCTTTTACATCTGCAATGCCTAGAAAATTATTATAATAATGCACTTGCCTTGTGAAAGCCTTTCTCGTATATGAACTTATTTAGTCCCCACAGTGGCTCTTTGTAGGAGGATGCTATTAGTTATATTTTGTCAATGAGGAAAAGCTACTAAGAGGAGTTGTCCAAAGCTATGCAAGAAGTGGCAGTAAGTGGCCAGTAATGTGAGCTGGCATTACATTATCATTATTATCTTTAAAAGCAGTTAACGTTTATTGAGTTCATACTGTACTTGGACTTTTATGTAAGCTATCAATACTTTTAATACATATTATTTCATTTAATTTTCACAGTAGTTCATTTTACAGGTGAGGAAACTGGGTCAGAGAAGTGAAGTATTTTGCCTAAGAAAGAAGACATAACTAGCAATGGCAGGGTCAGGATTCAAACCAAGAGGGCCTCTGAGAAGCAAGGATGTGGCCAGTGACAACAGGAGTAGGGAGTTTGTTAACCAGAAGGAAAGAGGTCCATGGACTTAGCAGGCCAGGGAGCTCTCAGTTCTGTGTGGTGGGAGGCTCAGAAGGGAGGCTGTCTGTGAAGACAGGGCCTGAGAACACACCTGACCTGACTGGGAGGTGGTGTTTTACAGCCAAGTAAGGGGAGAAGGGAGCTGTTGATCTAACATTTGCATTTTGCACGGTGCTAATGGAGGTTTGGGTTTCTTCTCTAATATTTTATTTTGAAAATTTTCAAATGTATAGAAAATTTGAAAAAGTGGTTCAAAGAACACCCACATACCCACATAACTTTATGCCCATTCTATCTTCCTCTGTCTGTCTATACACTTTATTTATTTTTTCTGAACTATTTAAAAGTAAGTTGGAGGCATCTTGAATTTTTTGAAGTACTCTTATATGTTTCCCCTAAGCATTCTCTTATATAACCAAAGTATCATTATCACATCTAAGAAAATTGGCAGTAATTTCACAGTGTAACATAATGTATAGTTCAAGTTTGAATTTCCTCAGTTGTTCCCCAAAATGTAACACATAGCTGTTTCCTTTTTCAGTCCAAAATTGAATCCAAGGTTGAGGCATCACATTTGGTTGCTATTTCTTTAGGCTTTTTAAAATCTCTGTACCTTTTTCCCCCCGACATTAACTTTTTGGAAGAGTCAAGACCAGTTATCTTATAGAATGATCTACATTCTGGATTTGCCTAATTAATTTCTTTATGCCTAACAATTTTTGGCAAGAGTGCTATATTAGTAGTGCTATTACATGGGTTTTGAAGAGTGGAAGTGATTGAGCTTCTTTAGTTCATTGAAATACCTGTTTAGACCAAAATATGTGCGTTTTTCTGGGGGAGGTTTCTTGGCTTTCAGATTCTCAGAAGGCTCCAAGACCCATAGAGATTAAGAAACATTAGTCTGCCCACTGAGGCAGGCAACACAGAGCTGGTTTCTGGGGCCTTGATGACTCTGAACTTGCTTCCCTTGGGGAGACAGTACTAAGTTGTAACTTTCTGATCCTGGCTTCGGATCAAAGAGAGAGACTGTCCATTTTGTTTTTAGAGCTGGGAGCCAGGGACAGCCTGTGTGGCCCAGTTCCAGGGGTCCAGGAGAGTTTCTGTTCTTGTCTTGCCTTTCAGGTGTTCGGAATGCCAAGATTCCCTGACCAACTGGTACTATGAGAAGGATGGGAAGCTCTACTGCCACAAGGACTACTGGGGGAAGTTTGGGGAGTTTTGCCATGGGTGCTCCCTGCTAATGACAGGGCCTGTCATGGTGAGTGAGTACCTTCATCTCTGCCCCTTTGGACATCAGAGTTTGTTGACAGCACTTCTGGTTCCCCATGGCTATTCATTTTTTGGTCTTTCCATCAGCAAGGGCCTCTCCCTTTATTTTTTCATTCATTCAACCAACAGGTGTCTGTTAAGCACCTATTAAGTGACAGGTAAGATCCTTCCATCAAAGACCTGACAGTCCATTGTTGGGAGTGGGTGGGTAGGCAGTCAAAGAGAAGACACAAGGCAGTGGGATAAGGACCTTAAAGGAGAGTGTTACAAGTTGAGAGGAGGATACTCCTAGGTTGTGTTTAGGGAATCAGAAAGGTAGACTCTGGAATGGGCTGGCAGAGAGAGATTCTGCTTCATGTACCTGCTCTAGACAAAGGGTTTTAAGTATAGTCACAGACTTGCCAATCTCGTGTTTGGAGGAACTGTGAGCCTTTCTAGGAGGGATAATTACTTCTGGGGACTTGTTCTCATGACTGAGACCAAAACAGTTTTTTTGCAATATCAGAAATGATGGGAGGCACCAACCCAACAATTCCTGTGGAAGCTCTAAGGCAGGGAGTGAAAGAGTGGATTTTGACTGGGGTCCGTAGATCCTTGATTGTAGGTCACTTGCCCACCCCTATCTCCGCTCTAGCAACAGTGATAACTCACTTCCTTCTGCTTTACACCCTTCTCCCTACCTGCTCACAGGTGGCCGGGGAGTTCAAGTACCACCCAGAGTGCTTTGCCTGTATGAGCTGCAAAGTGATCATTGAGGATGGGGATGCATATGCCCTGGTGCAGCACGCTACCCTCTACTGGTAAGATGGTGGCCCTGTGTCCTCCCCCATAAGAGTGACCAGGAGAGAGGGACAGATGGCAGCATGAGTTGGGCAGAAAGACTATCGGGGTGGTCAGAGTACTGGATTCCTGTCACCCAGTGCTCTTAACCAGCTCTGTAACCCATGAGCAGGATGATTAACATTTCTCTGCCCTCTATCCTTACCTATGTGAGAATAACCTCACTCTGCCCTGTGATCCTCCCAGACGGAGAGATGGCTGGGAAGGTGCTCTCTGAGCAGAATCCCAGAATATTAAAGACAAAGGTCCTTTAGAGCTCTCCCAGCTCACCCAGCCCAGTTGGTTGCCTTGGTTGACAAAAGAAGCTAGCCTGAGGCCCCGGGAGAGGAAGGAGGCTGGGGCAAGGTGCTCACTGTGAGTCAATGGCAGAGCAAAGAGAACCTAGGTCCCTGGCCAGTGTTCTTCCCAGTATACCACTTGCTGCAGATCCACATCACCCCCACCCCACACCCCCAGTCCCAGTCCACCCCAAGAACGGCAGAGCAAAGAGAACCTAGGTCCCTGGCCAGTGTTCTTCCCAGTATACCCACTTGCTGCAGATCCACATCACCCCCACCCCACACCCCCAGTCCCAGTCCACCCCAAGAACCCAAGCTCCTCATTCTGAGCAGCTAGCTATAATGGGACTATGAATGTGAGTACTGTTGCTTCAACCCACATGGTGCAGTGATTGCTGGGGAGCCTCCAGGATCTTAGCTCCCTTTGTTCCCTCTCCAGTGGGAAGTGTCACAATGAGGTGGTGCTGGCACCCATGTTTGAGAGGCTCTCCACGGAGTCCGTTCAGGACCAACTGCCCTACTCCGTCACACTCATCTCCATGCCAGCCACCACTGAGGGCAGGCGGGGCTTCTCTGTGTCTGTGGAGAGTGCCTGCTCCAACTACGCCACCACTGTGCAAGTAAAAGAGTGAGTATTTTGAGAACCCTGTAGCGGGGGTTCTTAGGCAGAGTCCATAGATGGGCCTCAAAGGGCTCAGAACTCCAAAGTCCTATGCAGAACTCCTTCCTCCTCATCTCACATCTTCCTCTTTCCTCATCTCATGTCTTCCTCCTAGAGCTCATGGTGCTGTAACTGCACCTGGGCCTTGGTACTTACTGTTCTCTCTGCCCAGGCTGCTTAAGGACACTTGAGGCCAGAATCTCTCACCTTTCAGGTGTCAGGTTTCAAATCATGTTTGGTCTTTGAAATTATCTGGCTTGATTATATATATTAGTTTATCATCTGTCCTCCCCACTCATATGTAAATTCAAGAGGAACTCGCTTTGTTTTGTTCAGTACTGCATGCCCAGAGCCTGGAACAGTGCCTGACATATAGTAGGTGTTCATTGATTATTGTTTTATTGGTTGCATGAATGAATGGAGGAAGGAAGAGAAAATGGGGTCCATGGCACAAGAGGTTAAGATCCCATCCTAAGTCCAGGCCAGAGACAAGATGGGGAAAGAGTCTGTGTCCATCTGATATCAGTAATGAGGCACCTGTGGCCACTTACCCTTTAAATAGTGGTTGTGTACCTACTATGTCTGGACACTAGGCCAGTACTTGCAGTATAGGTGAGAGGTACTAAGTTTGGGGAAGTCAGGAGGAGGTGGTCTACTCTACAGCCTCATTAGATAAGGTGGAGAGGGAATTGTGTTCAGGGCAAAGGGAGAAGCATGTCTTTGGAGGTGGGAGTCTGGTAGTGTCTGATATAGGTTGGGTGGCTGGGAGCAGCCAGAGAAGGGGCTGTTAAGCATGGAGGGCCTGGATTATGAAGATCTAACAGGTCCACTGAGGGGTTTAAGCAGCAAGGTGACACGACTAGGTTAGTGTTTTAGAAGGATCACTGGTATGGAGATTGAATGGGAGAGGGGAAAGCCTAGAGGTGTAGAGACCAGCTAAGAGACTGTTTTAGTGACCCAGGTGAGGGATGTTGCCAACTATGGTGATGGAGAGAAGGCAGGATTCTCAGAGATGGGTAGGGGTTGGGCCACGGAAAGTGGAATGAGGGAACCCCAGAAGGGGATGACGTCCAAGTTTCTGGCTCAGGCCACTGGGTGAGTGGTAATGCCCTGTACTGAGATGGGGCATCCTGGGAAGAGTGTTGCCTTTCTGTGTGGGTGGCCTAAGCCTTCTATGCCAGTGGGGACCAGGGGCCTGGGGTATCTTCCCTGCACAAGCAGAATTAGTAATGCAAGTTTTTAGGATGCCTTCACCTTTTCTCAATTCTTGTCTGGCCCAGGGTCCACCGGATGCACATCAGTCCCAACAACCGCAATGCCATCCACCCCGGGGATCGCATCCTGGAGATTAATGGGACCCCTGTCCGCACACTTCGAGTGGAGGAGGTAGACTGTGTATCCAGTCTGTCTTGCAGGGGTGGGACATGGAACAGACCCTTTGAGAGATCAGGCTATAGCCTTTACTTTTTCTCACACCCAAGTCCATCTCTTTTTCTTGGTACTGAGCCTGTGACCACTGGTGAACCTCCTGTGTTAGCATAGCAGGTTCCCGGGACAGCAGGGATGGCCTGACAGATGGGGGAGTTGATGGGATGCCAAGCAGAGGGCACTGTGAGGCCACTGGCAGCTACAGGCCACCATTAGCCAAGTTGAGCATTGGCCATACTGTGTTTAGATCATCTGGGTTGGTAGTGGGTGGCTTGGGATGGGGCAGCCTGTGGGAGCCTCATACTGCTCTTGGCCGCAGGTGGAGGATGCAATTAGCCAGACAAGCCAGACACTTCAGCTGTTAATTGAACATGACCCCGTCTCCCAGCGCCTGGACCAGCTGCGACTGGATGCCCGGCTCTCTCCCCACATACAGAATGCTGGACACTCCCAGACCCTCAGCACTCTGGACACCAAGGAAAATCTGGAGGGGACACTGAGGAGACGCTCCCTGAGGTGCTACTTCCTACCAGCTCTCCTGTGTCCCATGTCCATCCCTGAGATGAGGCTAAGCTGGTTTTTGGAAGCCAGCAGAGTTAGGAAGGGAACCAGCTGGCCAGGGATAGGCGTGAGGATTGTGCTGACCCAGCTGCCCTTGTGGGGAATCACAGTTCATAGCTAAGGCCTGTGCAGACCTCACTGTCTGCCAGGTTTCCTTAGAAACCAAAAGGTCAGGCTCTGTCCACTGAGCTCTTGAGCTGGCTGGGAGGCAGCAGTGCTGGACCCTGAAGGGCAGCACTGGTGTGGGGCTCAGAGCCTGGAATAGGGGCACAGACAGGATTGAGTAAGTATACGAGGGTGCTTCAAAAAGTTCATGGAAAAATAGAATTAAAAGATAATATGGGGGCCGGCCCGGTGGCGCACTGCTACAGTACACCGCTTGGGAGCGCGGTGGTGCTCCCGCCGAGGGTTCGGATCCCACATAC